ACTTGCTCCCTTTCCAGTTATTTTGCAGAGCGATTCCTTGGCGTCGGTGTGACGTTCCCCATGCAAACCGCTGTAGGAGGGCAATTTGGGTTTGGGGAACGGTGGGTTGTTTTTAAGACTCAGATTGAGCCTTGTTTAGAGTGGCTTAGGGAGGTCTGAGCAGCACGGAGCCAGCCTGGCAGGCTGCGGAGGGGCCCCAAGCAGGAGAGGGAAATCTGTTTGAGAGAGGTGCTGCTGGCCGTAATGGCAAATTGGGAAATTCTCCTCTCCTTTCAGGTAGGAGGTTGGTGTGGATGTGATCCACGGTGTTAGATCCCCCTGCAACGTGGAGGTGGAGATCGTAAGAATCTGTAAACGGTCTTGCTGGAACAGGAGAAGGCTGGGACGCTGCGATGGTGAGTGTGATGTGGTACTGAGGCAGGGCTGGGAAATCCAAATTTGATGCTCTGGCACCTCTGTTTGGAGGCAGAAGCGGTCCTGAGGGCTGGAGGCTTCTGCCCGGCTGGCGGTCAGGAGGGGCTGTGCTCACTGGTGTCTCTAAAGTTGTAAATATCTCCGTGGTTCCCCTGCGTTTCACGTGCCATTTCCCAAACAGTGTGGGCAGGAGGAGGGCTTCGCTGTTGCTTATGAGATGCTCTGGAGAAACCTGCCTCTGGCTTTAGTGTGTTTTGAGAAAGTCCAGGTCAGATCTGCTTCATTTTCTAATGAGGGAATTTGTCTTTCTCCATAGGCTACAAAGACGAGTTTAAGAAGTATGTGTGATCGTGTGCTTTCCTTTCGCTGTCTGTAGGTGCTTTGATCTGCTGGGAATGTGTGGGATGGAGAAGGGGGGATGCTGGGATCAGGTGGCAGTCCTGACTAATGAAATGTTTCATGATCCTTGCCTGAAAGCTGCAATGGAGTGCATTGTGTCATTCCTGAACCGGAGATATTCACCTGTCTCTCACATCAAGTAGATTTGCTTATTGGGGTCCTATATTCCTTTCTTGTGGGCTTTCCCAAATCTAGGGGAGAACATATGTGTTTATTTCAGTTCTTCCCCTCGCCTAATCCCTAACTGCTTGTTTGGAGGCCCCTTGCAGCCCCTAGTACTGAAGCAATGCTTTTGGGGTGGCCCAGGGACTCTGAGATACTGTGGGGTGAGAGCTCTCAGATTAAATGCTGCTTGTGGCCAATGACCAACTGAACAGAAAGCAGCTGGCTCACTTGATAAAGATAAGCCATTTCTGGCTAAGTACAGCTGAATCTTTTGCCCACAAAATACTGGATCAAGTCCCGGCAGTTCTCTCTGTACTGGCAAGGAAGGCTGATCATGCTTGAGACCAAACCTTTATTCTTGGGGGATTTCAAAAGAGCAGGCCAAAAACCAGGAGCTTTTCTATACCTGCTTGGTGAGCTCACCTGCCTCAACACCTTTAATTTGTCTCATTTCAGACTCTCTTGATGACACGCTTGATGACTTCCTGGGATACGATGGTAAAATGAACTTTCTTTGCAGCTGAAAGGGTGGCATCCTTATACTTTTACTCCTCTCCTGGGAGCAGGAGGTGCTGGTGCAACAGCCATTGATCTCTGAAGGGGCTCCAGTTGTGAGGGGGGTTGAAGCAGGGAGCAGAGCGGAGAGCAGGATTTTCCAGAGTCAGAGGCCATTGAATAAGTTGGATGTTAGCTTGGGGCGGCAAAGCGAAGTTCATCTCTGATTAAAAGCCTCTGTGGCCCATGGGGAGACAAATCCCCCTTTGGAGTGCCTAGATCAGGAATATGCCCATGTTCTATCATCCTAATCTCTCCCTGTCTTGTTTTCAGATGAAATCCCTGTTAAATCTGCCAGATCTTCCCAGCCAGCTACAGGCAGCAGTCAGAGAGCCCCAGGCACCAGCTCACAGGCCAGCAAGAAGTGAGTGCCTTTCAGACACAGCCTCTCTCACTTGGAGATCTCTCTGTGCCCACCAAGTCCTTCTGATCTGCCCCATCCTTGGCTTCTCCGCCTCACTCCCTGCCCCGATAGTGATTGCCTGGGCAGGCGGTATCTGCGATGCCATGGGAACTGGGAGCCCAGAGCCTGAAGCTTTCCAGCAAGATCTAGGTGCCCCCCAGCCTTGTACATCTTCTGCAAATCTCCCTTATATAGTTGCTTGCTTAAATATAGCAGTCCTAGCACTACTATCTCTTATCCCAGTGCTATTTTAGCCTCATTTTCTGTGTTGTACGATATGCCTGCTGTGGTGTGCCCATGTGGTCCCCTCCACCTCCCGCTGCCTGGCCTGGCTGTCCCCAGGGCACCCTTGCCGAGCTCACGTGTGCTGCTGCTAACCCCTCGGCTTGTGTCACAGGTCTTTTCTAGAGGATGATTTCGTCAGCAAACTCCCTGTGGAGGACATCAAAGCTGCAGAGGTGAGCCCAAATTTCAGGAGAGATCATGGGTGTCCCGAGGGCTGGGGCTGAGCTGGGCCAAGATTGCCCCTGGTACCACTCCATCCAAGTCAGCAGTGGGATATGAGGGATGAACTCTGAAGTTTGGCTGAAGAGGTAACCCCTCTCCAGTATCGCTGTGGGCTGGGGAAAATGGGACAAGGGAGTGGGTGAATGATGGGAGAAGGGCTTCCAGGTGCCCTGGATGAGATGGAGCAAAGCCAAGGGGGCATATGCTGCTGCAGTCCAGCATTCCTGGGTGTACGCTTCAGGTAAAGCATTGTAGGAAGGACCCTCACCCAAAGCAATGGCCTTGGGTTTTCGTGATGCTTCTCCCAGAGGCAGCAGGATCTCAGCAAAGGGATCAAGGCACAGGGGGTTTCCAGTGAGGGGGACACCAGGAGGAGTTGGGCATGTATCCTTCCATCCATAAAATGAGGAAAACCAGGGGCCAGAGTGAGGGGTGAGGAGTTTCCAAAGTGTGCTCATCTTTGCTGTCTCACCTCCCTGGCATGCAGACACCCAGTGCCTCCAACGCAGACCCACAAGCTGTGCCGCAGACCCTGAAGGTAGGTGTATAAATATGCTCCATCTCAGCCCTACATGCACTGCAGCCATGGCCTCCTGCACCAGCCCCCAAAGGGAGAAGCGGCGCTGAGGCATTAGCAGCACCCACCCTGCTCCCATCCTCGTCCTCTTGCTTTCCAGGATATGGATGACATGGAAACTGATCTGGGAATATCGAAACCCAGTTCTGGGCCAAGGAAGACAACTATGAAAGCTCCTGGGAAATGTGACTCCTTGGGAGGAAGAGTAGAAAACACAGGGAAGCTGCTAGCTCCTGAGAAAGGTAAAAGGAGATTCTGCTTTTCATTTCGCAGCCTGATTGCAAGCGAGCAGGGGATGTTTTCGTCTGGGATAGGGAACAAAAAGTGGATTTGTTCCCTAAAATCCTTTTCCTAGTCCCTTTTAGGGGAGTGTTGTTCTGGCCACGTGTTGTTCTTTGGGAGATCCCTGGCCCGGCCTCTTATCGTGCTGTGGTAACATCACTAACATCAGCAGCAGCAACAACAGCCACGCTGCTGCCTCTCACCAAAACCAATTTGGTGTTCTCTGGTGCAGTGCAAAGTGTTTTGAGTGGGATCTGCCTGATCTGTGTGGAAGGAGAGCCGGAGGGGTTGCGTTTAAGATATGCCAGTCCCTAAAGTGCCCTGCTCTTCCCCAGGGCCTTTTCTCCTTCTCTGCTTGCATGGAGACCCCTCCAGAGAGATTCCCGACTGGCAGGGCTGCGGGGGGACTGTGTGTCACAACATGTGCTTTGAGGCATCTGTCACCAGAAAAGTGACCTTCAGCCAGGCTGGGACGGGGGTATCTCTGCAGTACCTTGTCTCTGAGTGCTGTGGCCTCTCTTTCCAGGGGAGCCTGTGCCTGCGATGGAAAAGAAGGCGCTCTCATCCCCGCCTGCTTCCCGACGGTACAAGAAGTTTAACTTTGAAGGTAGGATCTCGCTTCGCTTCGGCACGTAGATGCGTGGGGGCAGCTGAGGACTCTGCCCTTGCTCTTTGCCCATAGCTTGCCTCTTGTGTTAACTGAAGGCTTGGTGAGATGCAGAGTCCTTCACCCCTATGATGCCAGTGCAAATCTAACCCTTCAGGGTGACCAAAGGAAAAAAATAAAATTACAGCTCTGTGTTTGAAGCTTTCCCCAGGACGGGGCTGGGAGACGATTCCTGGGGGCATTTGCATTTTCACATGTGCTTTGGTTTTTAATGACTGTGTGTAACACTTGGGAGCCCTTGTGTCAGGGGGGATTCTGTCCAACTTCTGAACAGGGCGGGTGGTTTCCTGGCACCACTGAGATCTGGTAGTCGAAGCCTGTGCTTTAACCAAGGTCATGACTAATGGGCTTTAGGTGATTTAGGTGGGCTTTCTTCTCCCCTTTTTCTTTGCCTAAACAGCATTCAAGCTTAAAGCTCACAAATTTTGAGTTATTTTCTTCTAGAAGAAAAAAGATGTGGAAAAACTGAACAATGTTACTCTTGAGTGTTTGAAGTTCAGGGAGACTCAAGGGTATCCCGGGTCCCTGCAGAACCTGGCTTTGGGCAGATACGGTCTCCTGTCCGCATGTGCGCATGGCAAGGGCTAGTGCTTGGCTTAGTGCAGAACTGTTTTTCTAAATAACATTGGTTTTGTTTGTTTTTATTATTATTCTCCTTTCTTGCCCCTACTCCCATATTTAGATGTTCCTTTGGCAGGACTTTTACCTGATGAGGAGGAGGATGCTCCCAAGAAGCCAGCTCTAGCAGGCACTAAAAGCAGCTCTGAGAAAAAGACAGAACAGAGCAAAGAGGAAGGTAAGCAGGGTTGCTTGATGCATCCTCTTTGTATTAAATGAATCAGCAGCCTGGATTAGTTTGTGTGAGGTCCAGACTGATTAAATTGAAAGCCACCTAGTCCCATCTGTTATTAACCAGTATGGTCATTTATAGAGCAACTTGGTAACGGGGATCATTGTGACACAGCTCACCAAGTGCTTGATATTTCCAGTGTGCCACAGGTTACAGAACGGACCTTTCCTTTCTGGGAACGGAGGCTCAGATCGTACCTTTGACCTCATCGAGCCTGTTTTACACATTGCCAAATGAGAAGAAGTTTTCTGGGTCAGGATTTGGGTGGCTGAGAGCATCACCAGTCCACGCCAAACCACGGCTGGGGCACCTCTGGGTGGGATCCAGCTGCACTGTGGCTGTGTTACAGGCACTCATCCCTCTTGTTCCTGCAGCAGGGATGTTAATAGGTCTGATAGTCCCCTAAAATCATCTTTCACCCTGATAAATCCACTCTGGACACAAGTAACAGCTGGTGGGTTAGGACGAAGACTAAGGTGCATTGGTGGAGCAGGGACTTTGGTTGAACGGGTGCAGGAATTATCCGATTGGAAACCTGCAAAGCTAAAAAAGCTCCTGGTGTTAGCCAGAGCTGGAAACCCCAGCGTTAGTGACACCCAGCAATGTCCCATCAGTGGATGCATGACCACAGACCAGGCAGTAGTGCATTGCCACTTTGTCACTTGCTGTGAGATTTGGTCGCTGAAAAGAGTTATTGAAAAATTACTTTGTAAATGGTCCTGAGAGATAAGAGCAGGCAGGGATGCTTTGATACCTTGTTTTAAAAAAAAAAAGGAAAAAAAAAAGCCCCGATCAAACCTTCTACCATGTGTGATCCCATCCACAGAGCCACCTCCACCCCAGACACCTCTGCACACTGTGGCCCCAGTCAAGAGGAGGCAGGAGCTCACGTTTGAAGATGATGGTGACGACCTGATGGACGCACTGGGATTTGGCAGTGACCCAAAAGGAGATGAGAAGCAAGGAAAGAAGGCAGAAGAGTAAGGGCAGAGGGAGTAAAGCAGGGCATGGCTTATGCGTTGAGATGGTGCCACCATGCTGGGTGGGGGGTGCTGGAGTTTCTGCCTGCGGGTCCCAGAAAGGGGCAAGAACAGCTTTGTTTCACAGAGAAAAGCCAGAGCACCCTAGCAAGGCTGTGTGACGAGGAACAGCCCTGCCTCTCAGAGAAACCCATCTGCTGCTGTGTCCTCAACAGGGAGAAGCCCCGGCCGGCCCGCTCCAAGCTGGATGAGTTGCTGGGACGAGGTTCTGTGGCCAAAGTTCTGGAGCAGCCAGGCATGGGAGAGCGCAAGGAGTTCAAACTGGATAAGAAGTACCAAAAGCAGCCAGGTGAGCACAACCAGGGAGACTGAGAAGGTCTGCAAAGGTGATAGCATTGGCTTGGGAGAGTAAGATTGATTTCTAATACCCTTGCACGGGAAATGCCCTTTCTGTAGTGGTGAGCAGGGTTGCTAATGGGCTTTCAGTCAGCACGGGAGGGGGCAAGGCTAATGGAAAAGTGTTGTACTCAGCCCTCAAGGCAGCTTGGGAGCGTTTGCACAGTAGCTATAACTGGATGCGGGCTGATTCCCAACAAAGAAGCTTTTCCCAGCCACACTGAGGAGGCACATTGCTCGCAGATTTCTGGGGAAGATGTTTCCAGCTGTGTTTTCTGAGAGGCATCAGTCCTAGTGGGAATTGCAGGGGAGGAGGAGAAGGAAGGCTGGCGTCTTTGTAGACGGCTGCTCCTCTGGGTGCTGACTCAAGGCTGCTTGTCTGAACAGAGAAGGAAGAGGGTTGGGACAAGGAGGATTTTGTCTTTGGAGCATACCAGCCCACCATGGCCTCTATGTCTGAGGGCCGGCTGGCGAAGAGGCATTCTGTGAGGTATGGTGCTCTGTGTGTGTCTGTAGCTCCAGCCACGCTGCCCCTTCGGCAGAGCAGGCAGGCTCCCCGGGGTCCCCTTGCAGGCAGGTGTGTGACTGCTTCTCCTTGCAGGTTTTCAGCTGAGAGCAGCAGCAAACCGAAACCAGAGCCCTGCTCCAAACCTCCTCTTCCAGCCAGCCAGAGCTCTGTGCGAAGCAGCAAGGGTGGAGGTGACTGGCTGAACTTGAAAGATGAGGATTTTATGGATTCAGAGACACCGTCTCCAGCGAAGGGCAGTCCCGCAGTGAGCCAGTCCGGCCCTGCTGCGGCTGGGCAGCCCGGCCCCACCAGCCAGCTCCCAGCTGCAGAGGAGGCAGCGGCTAAACCTGACCCGCTGGAGGAAGACAACTGGCTGAGCACTCTCTTGTCTCACAAGAAAGCCCAAGCACAGGCAAAGGCGAAGGAGGGAAATGCCAAGCTCTCGGAGGCCTCAGGCGAAGGGCTGGATTGCCATTTTCCTGTCAGGTAAAGGCATGGTTGATGGCCACAGCACTCCTGTCTGCTGCACATGTAGCTGCTCCAGCAGGACCTCTCAGAAACCCTTGGCTCAGATTTAAGAAATTAATTTTAAGCACTATGTTGTCTCAGGTTAGGGTAATAATGCGGGGCTTTCTCCCACTGATCCAGCCCGCAGTCCCATCACGCCTCTGGGGTCTCCTTCCAGTTGTGGCTAAGATTGCACACACTGCCCTGGGTCCCACGGAGCTGTCCTGGGTCAGCACACCGTGACGAGCTCCCACCGTGCTCCTCATTCCTGCCTTCATTCCCCTTCATTTCTCCCAGTTCCAGGCAATCCACCTCTGGTAGATGAGTTTACATGGACACGAGTTCAGACTTGTGCCATTGGAATGGGACTGGGAAGTGAATTGCTGACAAACAGCCCTGCGTCATGGGCAGGGATACGTTAGCTGGGGCTGTTCCTGCCCAGGGGAAGGGGGTGGATGCAGCAAGGAGGAACACCAGTGATGGAGGTTTTGAGGTGTCTTTGCTCCCTCTCCAGCCAAAAGGTTGAATGCTGCCACAGCTGAATGGGACAGAGGCTTTCACCTGCGAGGCAGGATCTGGTGATGGGGGAAAAGATCTTGTCTTTCATTGCCTCCTCGGCTCTCCAACATAAGATGCTTTTTGCTTGCAGCCAGCCAGCCGCCTCTGCAGGAGCACCGCAGCAGGCAGCTGCCCTGCAGGACAAGGCAGCGAGCGCAGACAGCTCCAGGTAAGGCCTCCTTTGCCTTTCAGGCATCCTCGGTGGGAGACGTGTGCTGCGGAAAGCAGCTGCATGTGTGAGATGGGGGAATGGGGAGGACTGGTAGCCAGCAGTGATCACTTTGGTCTGGGACCTCTGTAACTGGAACGGAAGGCAGCTCCGAAGGATCGTTGGGCTCTTGCTTGATAACAGTGGGACAGCCAAGCTTTAAACTGCAAGAAATGCCAAGCAGCATAATGTCTGTGTGGCTCTCCTTGAGCTGTGACACTGCTGTGCATCACTTGTGTCTCTATGTCCATGCAGGGGGCCGGTCCCCTGGCTCAGCACCACGAAGCAAGCCTCAGCTCATCCATCAGAGTCTGCGAAGGGGGATCCCTCCAGAGACACCAGTGCCCTGGGTGCGTTTCGCGTGGTTGTACAGTTTGGGCAGCAGTATGCAGAGACGGGTCCTCCTGTCCTGCAAAAAAAAAAGAAAGAGGCAGGAGCCACAGCATCGCTCTTGGCCATATGAATGCTGCCCAGGCTTTGACTGGCCGTTGTCAGAGCAGGCTGCATGATCCCACCATCTCCATTTCATGGCATGGTGGGGATGTCGTGGTGGGACGCACTGAGCTCCACAATGCTGCCTTTGGCGTTTCAGAGGGCTGCAAGGGACTTGCTCACTCTGAGCAATGGGTGGGTGTAAGTTCGTGCTGTCCCTTCTCTCTCCCCTTTCCATCCTGCTGCCCTCACATTCGTCCCACTAGTGCTGTGTGCTGGAAGATCCCCTCCTGCCCTGGGCTGAGGCTGTGCACCAGTTCAGAGGCCACAGAAAGTGGCATAGGGGACCCAGCCTTCTCCCTAGGTGATGGAGATGGAGGAGGAGCCATGCTTTGCCCCCAGACTTACTCTGCAGAGCAGAGTCCCACCATTGTGCGTGGGATGGGGTAGGGGTGCAGGTATGGACAAGCCTGTCTGACCCTTTGTCCCCATCACCAGTCACCGGAGCAGAGCAAGACCCTTCTTGCTCTGCCCAGGAGACCCGGACCCTCACCCTTCTGGGAGGGGATGGTTCCCATTGCCACGTCTGAATCACAGACTTGTTTGATTTTTCAGTCCCCACAGCCTTGTTGCCAGGAAGGCAGGAGACGCAGGGCCCTTCCCAGCTCGCTGAGGTAGGTCTGCTGGGCCTGTGCCCCCGAGAGGTGCTGGATCAGGGCAGTGATTGTGAGCCCTTCCCTGCTGACTCACCATCATCCAACTCTGTCCGTGCTCCCTCGGCAGGAGGAAGGATGTGCCCCTCTTTGTGTCTCTGGGAGCCTGTGTTCATGGAGGCAAAGTGTTTAGAGAGCCCTGAGATGCCACAAGTTGTATTTATCAGGCCAAAGCGTGTGTGCTATGGATGCTTTGTAAATCATGTGCGTTTACAACCCTGCATTGCCTGAGCAGCATTTACATAGTTCCCTGGGCATATATATTATATTAATTAGACAACAGAGGCTCCAGTTGATAAAGGACTTTTTCTTCAGCTAGTTTTCTCTGGTATGGTGGTGAAGGTTCTCTGAGATTGTTTCTAGACAACTGAAGGGGAATCAGAGCCTCTGACAGAGAGGGCAGCTCTTACTTGGTCTTTGAAGCCTCCATTTCTCATCTAGCTGGGCCTCCTCACCCTGCCCTCGTGGCAGGCCACACGGTGTCTCCCAGAGGACTCATGGGTCTTATCCTTGAGCCTGTTGCCAGAGAAGGAAGAGCGCAGCATGCTTGTGTCTGGGGTAGGGGCTGCTGAGTGTCACCTGAAGAGAAAGGACCCAGGCTAGCAATGGGGTTGGGCTGGAGAAGGGTAGAGGAGGGACTGCAGTAGGCTGGGGATGGATTGCCATTCCCAGGCTAGGAGGAGGTGTTCTCCCCAGGGCTCTACCTCCCTGAGAGCATCCCTGTGTTTCCCCAGGTTACCGCACCCAGGGCACATCTCCAGGCTGCTCCACAGCTGCAGGTGAGGCATGTGCCTTCCTTTGGGGGCTGATGGCCACACCATAAAGCCACTGATCCTGAAGGGCCTTGATCTTCTCTCTCCATCCCTGTGTAGGCAGAGTCCCCAGCCCTGGGCTCGCTGCCTGAGAAGAGTCTGGGTGCTCCTGCAGCCGAGCTCTACGGGGATGCATCAAGCTGTCGGGCAGCACTGGTCACTGCCCAGGCCCGTGTGGTAGAGCTGGAGAGCCAGGTGAGCCCCGTCGCCTGCTGGATGGGGGACCATGGGTGACCCAGGGGAGGAGAATGGGCCATGTCCGCTCCAAATAGCATCAGGGTGACAGGGGAGAGAGGAGAAACCTTCCTGTCTGGAGATGCCTACAGCCACCAAGTGCTGTTGTGGGAGCTCTGTCCCTGGGGCAGCACAAGGACCTTCTCCCTGGGTGCTTGGCAGGTCCGGTTGCTGGAGGTGGAGCGGACACAGCACAAACTGTTGCTGGAGAGTCTCCAGCAGCGGCACCAGGAGGACCTGAATCTCCTCGAGAATGCCCACAGGTACCAGGCTCTCGCTTGTGCTCCCCTCCTCTGTCAGGTCCTTGCCTACAGCCCTGTCCATCTCCCCTGGGGTAGGAGTCCTAGGCTGCTTCCCAAATCCATCCCTGGGGTGGGCAGGCACAGAGCCATGTCGATGTGGACCTGGTGAGGGCAGAAAGCAGCCCCACAGGTGAACCAAGGTGGGGCCCACTCTCACCAACACTGTCCCATGGGTAACAAGGAGAAAGGGTGAGTCCCGTTGCCAGCATGTCCCCAGCCAGGGCACTGCGCTGGGGAGCAGCAGAAGGGTTCAGGGCTCAGACTGCGGAGAGCCTGCGTGTTTCCCCATGCACATGGCGACACCGATCCGCTCCTAAGTCCCGGTGTGCACTTTGGGTGGAGAGTGCTGGGTATTGCCACAAAACCAACACTTCTTCCTTGCTGTGACCTCTCTGGGCAGGAGCCGGGTGATGGTGATGGAGGAGACCTGCAGGCAGCGGGAGGAGAAGTTGCGGCAGGAGAAGGAGCAGCTGGCGGCTCAGCTCCTGTCGCAGAGCCAGGACGCGGAGCAGGCACGGGCAGAGCTGCTGGCCCAGCATCAGCAGCGTGTAGCTGCACTGGAGCAGCAGAGCATGCTGGAGCTGGAGCGGATGCGAGAGCTGCAGAGGTGAGAGCAGTACAAGTGGCACACACATGGGACTAGTACCGCCACGCTCGGCAAAGGAACCAGGGGAGGGTTTGGGAACATGGTGAAAGGAGAAATCGGACTCCAGAAGCGCTGGGTTGTGGGCAGCTCGGTGGGTTTTGGAATGGGGATTTGCTTTGTAGGTGGACACAGGTTGATCTGGCTGGAGACATCATTTCACAGTGAATGCATTGTGTTTTGAAAGATGTGGTTTATGTCCCTCAAATCCCTTTTATTCAGGTCAGTGAGTCACTAATGTCCGCATAGTTTGGGTCAATGAGAAAGCAGTTTTTGGAAGAGAAGCCCATAACCCCCAGATATGGTCCGTCCCAAGAGTAGATGCCTGTCAGTGGGATGCCCCATGCAAACCACCTGCCAGCTCAGCTCGTGGGACCTGGTTCTCAGCCCCATGACCAAGCCTCTTCCATGGTTCCCATCATGGGGAGCACTGGTTTGTAACAGCCTGTGGCGGGCTCCTTCCCCATGTCCTGCAGGCGAACCGTCCAAGAGATGCGCAAAGACCATGAAGAGCAGCTCCAGTGGCTGAAGCGGCTGAAAGACCAGGAGATCGACGCGGTGACCAGTGCCACTTCACACACCAGGTACCTACAACCGGCATTATATCCCCACATTGGTCCCTGGCCACGGTGTTTCCTTTCCTGTGGGGAACCACCCTTGGACCATGGCAACAAGGGACATCCCCTCTCCCACTTGCTGCCTCCAGGGATGCTGAGCTGTTTAATATCTGTCAGTGCTCCCCTGAGCTGCAGCTATATCTTCCTACTGGTCTGCTATGACCCAGAGAGGTTTGGGGCAGGGCTGCCCAGCCTTTGGCCCACTACGCATCCCCCTCTCCATCATGGTGAGATGAAGTGTGTCCCACAGGGGTGACCCTCCCCTCGCTCCTTTCCGTAGGTCTCTAAATGGCATCATTGAGCAGATGGAGAAGTTCTCCAGCAACCTGCATGACCTCTCGCACAAAGTGGAGGCCACGCGCCACACTACATCCCAGGAGCTGGCCATGGGGGCACAGCAGTGGGACAAGCAGGTCAAGGGTATGTCTGCCATTCCTCTGGGCTAAAATGGCTGCGGGGTCCCCAGAAAACCGGGAGAAGTTGCTCCGAGTCAGCCAGAGGCTGGGAGCCGACACTGACAAAGGCTTGGTCACTGGACATCTCAGGGTCTCCCCTTTACAAAACAATGTCCTGGGAACGCGCAGAAGGTGATGAGCACAAACGCATGCAATTTTTCTGTGAATATGGTGTGGACAGAGGGGGGCTTCCCACCTCATGCTGCTCATGGCCCTGCTGCTGCCTCTCCCCAATG